CCCCCCCCCCCCCCCCCACCATCCCCATCCCTTCTCCTTAGAATCAACAATTACGAACGTACATATATCTATAGCTACTTGGTCCTTGATGATAGAAATATGTGACTTTCCTCGATCACCCGTCTACATTTGCACATCCGCTCAAGCACACGCGCTTATTAGAATAGACACTATGCCATAAAAATCTCAACCAAATGGTCTCTTTGGAAGCAGAGTCTGGCCCAACTTTGGATTCGAAACAACTTCTCCACGAAAGTTTGATGTCGACCAGACTCTACTTCTAAGGAGCATATTCTGTTACAAATAATTTATTCACATCAATCACGAAAAACAATCCTATGGAAAAAAAGCAAAAATTCGAACACAGCCTCAATGTCTTCGATTCCACGCTAAAACCCGTCAAAGCGAACACTACTTTACAAACTATAAATAGTTTCCTGAATTCCCAGCTAAATTTAAAAGCAAAAGACAACACAAAACAAAAATCAGGGGCCCGTTGTCTATGCCCCATTTTTAGGGTTCGACAAAGACGGGATCGCAAAGAACCAGGACACAAAGACCCGAAGATTTTCTGAACCAAGAACAAAGACCCGGAGATTTTCTGGATTAGAATTAAGAATAAAGAGGCCCCTGAATTATCCGATACACCGAAAAGCAAAAGAGAATGAGATATCCCTCTCCGCTTATTCTAAGTTTAAGGCTTGTACCGCAAAAGCGAGGAATCGAAGACCCATTAAAACAATTTTCTTCTCATTACTGCCGAAGTTTGGCGATTCCATTGGTGATGGCTCAAGACGTACGTGTGCCTTTGCGCGCCTTTCGGCCGGTCTCTCTTGATCGTACCATCATCTATTAACGGTCCTGTGATGAGGTGTTCTCCGTCATAATTCCTCGAGGTAGTTATTGGCACCGGCTAAAATCACATCGTCTTCTTGTGATAACTCCTGGCGGATTCCTTCCCACTCGAATGCTTCCCCGGCAAAGTGAACAGTCTGAACAAGAAATTGGGGAGTCCATGAAAAGTAAATTAACAAACCGAACCTCAACCATAAGCCGTTTGCATTGAAAGCCAAATGAACGCCTCCATTTCCATCGGAAAAGCATGTCCTTCTTGAGTGATCCTTCCTGGGTGATGCATGCCTCGGTTTGGCACTTGACGATGTTGTATGATGACCTGTTGACTTTTGTTTTGAGTTGTCTTTGTTAATCTGTAGATCCAGCTTCTGTACAGAATCGTTGTATCCTTCCTAGAAGGACAATCTATGCCGCTCGCATTGCTCATCGATTGGCACTTTGGGATCGGTTCGTAGTCGGAATTATGCAAAAATATCATAGCACTGCATTCGACTACTTTTTTCAAGAAATTACTCTAATCGTCATCTTATAAAGTGAATGAAAACATTGTAATATTCAGAGCTTATGATCAACTTGCGGTTGTCGACAATTTTCAGACCTGAAATTGTGCCTTTGAAAAATCGCTTTTGAGATCCTTCTTGAAATTGTGGCGTGTTAGCTCATCAGAATCAGAAAAAAAGGAAGTTCAGAGAGCTAAAGAAAGTGGAAATCATTCTAGCGAAAAAGTGCCGTAACCTACTAAATGTTTCCAAATTTGTAATTTCTTCC